CTTATTTGGTTATTTGTTTATTCCGATCTTCTACGTGACCTCCGATTACCCACAATGCACCGGGATCGCCTTCCTGTCACGTGACGAATCAATCAATATTTTCTTTTCATTTTCGCGTTGGTAATCTTGCGTCCAAAAATAATCTCTATTTTTGGACTATTTTATTTACAAAAATCATGCAGAGTTCAAAAAAAGAAGAAAGAGGGGAATAGAGTAGGGAGGGAAAAGAAAAAAAGAGGAGGGATAAGAAGGAGGGCAAAGAAAAATGAAATCATCTAGAGTTTAAATAGAGAAGAAAGAAGAGAATGGAATAAGAAAGAAGAAGAAGAGACGGGGAAGAGGTAGGGTAAAAAAAGGGGTGGGCGAAGGAAAAATAAATAAATAGATATGCAAAAGTCATTACAATCGTATTCTAGACACTTCTCTCCTCTCTCTCTCCTCTCTCCTTCTCCTCTTCTCTCTCTCCTCTTCTCTCTTCTCTCTCTCTCTCTCTCTCTCTCTCTTCTCTCTCTTCTCCTCTCCTTCTCCTTCTCCTTCTCCTTCTCTTCTCCTCTCTCTCTCTCTCTCTCTCTCTTCTTCTCTCTCTCTCTCTCTCTCTCTCTCCCTCTCCCTCCTCCTCCCTCCCTCCCTCCCCTTCTCCTTCCCTCCCCTTTCTCCTCTTCCTCCCTCCCTCCCCTCCTCCTCTCCCTCTCCCTCCTCCCCTTCCTCCTCCTCCCTCCCCCTCCCTCCCCCTTCCTCCTAATCCCCTCTCCTGCCCCCCTTCTCGCCCTCCCCCCTTCTCCCCTCCCCCTTCTCCCCCCCCCTTCTCCCCTCCCTTCCCCCTCCCTCCCTTCCCTCCTCTCACCTTCACCCACCCTTCTCCTCTTCACTCTCTCTCTCTCTCTCTCTTCTCTCTCTCTCCTCTCTCTCTCTCTCTCATCCTCTCTCGTCTCTCTCTCTCTCCTCTTTCCTCTCTCTCTCGCTCTATCTCTCTCTCTCTTCTCTCTCTCTCTCTCTCTCTCTCTCTCCTCTCTCTCTCTCCTATCTCTCTCTCTCTCTCTCTCTCTCTCTCTCTCTCTCCGCCCCTTCAATCTAATGGCAACTATTTCCCGCTCGATTTAACTCTGAGAGAATTAATCTGACTCATCTTCCTTTCGTGAAATAGCGGCCATTGTTGAGTGTTCGAGAGAGGGGAGGGGGGAGGAGAGGGGGGGAGGAGGAGGGAGAGGGAGGGAGGGAGGGAGGGAGGGAGGGAGGGAGGGAGAGTGAAGGGAAGGGAGAGGAGAGAGAGAGAGAGAGAGAGAGAGGAGGATTGAGAGGAGAGAGAGAGAGGAGAGAGAGAGAGAGAGAAAAGAGAGAGGAGGAGAGAGAGAGAGAGGGAGGGGGGGGAAGAGGAGGAGGCGAGAAAGAGAGATAGAGACAGACAGGCAGACAATACTGGAGACAGAACCAACATACATACTACACAGACAGACAGATGGGGCAGCCAGACAATACAGGTAGTCATACAGAAAGAAGAGAGAGCAGTCAAGACAGACTATTGTGAGTGTTCGAAGAGAGGGGAGGGAGGGAGGGAGGGAGAGGGAGGGAGAGGGAGGGAGAGGTTTGAGGAGGGAGGGAAGAGGGGAGAGAGAGAGAGAGAGAGGAGAGAGAGAGAGAGAGAGAGAGAGAGAGAGAGAGAGAGGAGAGAGAGAGAGAGAGAGAGAGAGAGAGAGAGAGAGAGAGAGAAGAGATGAGATGAGAGGGGATGATGAAGGGAGAAAGAGAGATAGAGACAGACAGGCAGACATACTGAGAGACAGACAAACATACATACTCACAGACAGACAGATGGGCAGCCAGACAAACAGGTAGTCATACAGAAACAGTCAAGACAGACAGACAGGTAGGCAGACAAACAGACAGATAGAGGCAGACAGACAAACAGGCAGTCAAAGAGAATAAGATAACAATACCTATTGCATTTACTCTCTCTTATTTTCCCCCTTTTCCCGTTCTATAAATGGAAAAATAACAATAACCTCCTGTCTCCTGCTGTGATAATACCGCCTCCTCTGATCCAATCAAATTTGACGTCAGTGGCTCCTTCTGACGTCATCAAATGTAACGGTCTTTGGTGTGACTTCGCGTTTCTCAACCTCCTTTGTCTTGGGGTTTTGGGCGCTAAATGATGTCGCGATGTCACTTTCTCCCCTTTCTCTTTTATTCATTTTCTTCTTATCTTCTCTTTGTCTTTTCTCTCTTTCTTCTCTTTTTCTCTATCTCTTTCTCTGTTTTCTCTCTTTCTCTTCTTTCTTTTACATATTTCTCCTTTCCCCTTCCTCCCATTTCTTGTCTTCTTTCCCCTTTTCTTTCTCGTCCCTCTCTTTCTCCTCTCTCATCCTCTCTTCTCTTCTTCTCTTCTTTCTACTTTCTCTTCTCCTTCTCTTTCTCTTTCTCTTCTCCTCTCTCTTCATCACTCTCTTCCTCTTCCTCAACTCTCTCCTCTTCCTCTCTCCCGGGTCTCTCTCTCGTCTCTCTCTTCTCTCTCACTCTTCTCTTCTCCTCTTCTCTCTCGTCTCCTCTCGCGGACTGTCGCTCTCTTTCCTTCTCCTTCTCGTCGTTTTTTTGTTTGCCAGCTTTATTTATTTTTTTCTTTGTTTTCTTTCCATCTCAAGAGTCACTATGAGTTGCTATTACGGATCCGTGGACCAGAGGTTATTTTCTTTTCTTGTTTGGTTAAGTAAGAAGGTAATGGATATGGAATGAAAACAGAACACTTGCTTGGATGCGGTTGATTTTGGCCATGCTCAAGATAATTGCAGTCTGGGCGTAATATATTAGGTGGACGTCGAGTGAAGGGCGTCTAACAAACGGAC